AAGCCAAATCCACATAACAAGCTAGTAGAAAAACATGCTCCTGAAACAATACAAAAATTTGAACACTAAACAAGCAAATGAATGTTTGCACAGGATTAAGTCCAAGGATGGTCAGCACTTAACTAGAGGCAGGAGGACCCACATGACTGGTTGGTAACCCAGGGGCACTTCAGTGGACAACTCAATTTGACCACATTAAGTGACTTGAAAGGGTTGGGGTGAGGGCTTGGGTTGTGGGCCTTTCTCTGGTGGCGGCGGATTGCTGCTAAAGAGCTCAAGCTACATTCAAGAAATTTTATCGTTTGTTTACATTGTCTTGGGAGATCATTTAGTCAATTTTTGAGGCTTTGGTTCTTTTGAACCCAGCAGTAATTTATATTGCTGCATTGATTTTCTGGATGCTTTCCCAGTGGGATGACAAAGTGTCACCTGTTTCTATGCCTCTGTGAGGAGGAGAGGGAGGGAGGGGGCAAGTTCTTGCCTCTGGTCCCCAATAAGCTAAACACGACTGCAACTAATATGACCTCTTATTCAGGAGCAATCTCAGCAAGACCATTTCTGGGAGTACAAAGGGCTCCTTCAGAAAATCCATGTATGTTGGGATTTAGTCCTTAGGCCAGGTGGGGAAACCAGTTAAGTTATTCATCAGATGTTTTCTTTAGATCACTATGCACTAATTCTACTGGATATCGTATATCCAAATCCCACCCTGCCCAAGGTTGAAACAAAGCATTAATTGAGATTATCGAGGGAGTGAATGTACAGTACAGTATTAGTATGTGTACAGTAAGCCTTGTTCATTTATGACAATTCATGAATACTTCTTCATAAGACTATGTGTACAGTGGAGGGGTATTGTAAATACTGCTGGAGGCTTGTGGTATTTGTTTATGTGACACTATGCTGTGAGAATATAACAAATGAATGAGTGATATTTTTTATTATTAATATACATAATATTGTTTTATCACAAATTTGATTATCCTCTTTACTCTGGGTTGATGTCTCCCTACACCTACAGTGGCAAACATGGTAATAATGATGTATGAATTCTACATTGAACTGAAAGGTGAATTTGGGAAATTTTCCAGTGTATAGTCGTTCCCATTATTTGTCAAATTAATGTAAACAACGTATGTATTTAACACAAAAATTTGAAAAACACAAAATGTGGTTTGTTTAAATTGTCAACCACACTACCATGGGAATAAGTTTATAACAGCGTGGAATTATAAACTTATTCTTAAAATAAGAAGTTTGTATGACTACTGTAAGTCAATAAATTACAAGATTCAGGTCAATGGCCAAGCACTGCAACCCAGGGAATAATTTTTGTATGACTTACATCAGGAACAAAAAATATATGTACTGTATACTTGCCAAAAACATATACTTGTACATGTTTTTGGCAACTAAAAAAAATCAACATGGAATTAATTAATACAAACGAAATAAATAACATGCAAACTAAATATAACTGACAATTAAATATAAAGCTATATTTATTTGTACCTTCAGTTCATGCAATATTTAAAATGAGAAACTTAATAGTGCCAGGAAATTATTTTTAGTAACTTCATGCCTTGATAATTTTTATTTCTGTATTACACCAATAAGAAGTCAAAGTTTTCCAACATGTAACACTTTCTCTAAACAAAATTATCAGTATACTTGTTTGTCTTATCAGTATTATCAACATACTTGTTTTGTGTACACCAAAAAATGTAATATTTTCATTAAAAATGTACCCCAATTAGACCATAAGATATAACATAAAATTAATGTAGCAAAAATGTTACAGAATCTAGTATACATGCATTATTTTATGTTGCAAGATTGTAGGCCAGAGGACTAACAACACCATGAATCAGGCACAGCAGGACTTACCTTATAATAGCACCTTAAAATACTAAGCAAACTGGAAGATATTTATCCGGATCATTTCATTAAAAGTCCCATATAGTTCACTCAAAGGGCAACAACTTCAAGGTCAAGAAGCCACAAAAAGACAAAACAGCAATATTTTTTACCCATAGGTTATTAAATATATGGAATTAAATATTTGCCAAAGCCAAAAATGACAACACTGTACTACAGCTCAAAATTAATCTGGGAAAAAAATCCTTGGGAATAATAGGTTTCACAAACACAGACAAACACTTGAGCAGAGTTGCATGACCAGAACATAGTGCAGTGCAATTCATGTGCACCTCCCACTTCCCCAATACACCCACCTCATTAATCACAACTACAGAAACATTAACTGAGCTTTTATGAAGAGTTACATTCTTTCACCATTTTCCCTACTATTCACCACCTTTCCTATTATTCACCAATTTTCTTAACCTTCACCACCTTCTCTACTCTTCACCACTTTCCCTTTATTCCTGTAAGCATTTTCACTAAATGCTGTCTTCATCAAAATGTAAAAAAAACCAGCGTTGAATGTAATGAAACGCCATTTTCTGGGTGAGTCCCGGAGGCTCCCCGGAGCTATCCCAGGCTGATATGCAAATGTCAGACTTTGGCATCAGTCATGTGTATGGAGTTCTTAGGCCTACTGGGGACCACGGCCAGAACTGGGCCCCCTCAGAGAGGCAAGGGGAGCAATGGCCTATAGAAGCCCCCGTGTAGTTGGAAGCATTCTATGTCTGCCATCGATCGGAACAGGCACCCAGAAAGGTAAGCGCCCCAAAACAAACCCCTATTCTGGTTAAAATTGCTACCTAAAACCGAACTAGTGGATAGAACTCCCCAACCGAAAACAAGCAAACTAGTGTGACGTCACACATTGCTGCGCCGCTGTCTGCGCAGCTCCCCCCCTCCCCGGGAGGGGGAGGGGGGAGCCCCAGACCCCCCGCGCCGGCTACTCACACCTCAGTTCTTGAGGCTGGATGTCAAAAACGCGAAAAACCACCGACCGGAGGGAGGGAGGGATGCCGGGGAGCCTCCGGGACTCACCCAGAAAATGGCGTTTCATTACATTCAACGCTGGTTTTCTGGGGGGAGCCCCGTCGGCTCCCCGGAGCTAACTACCCACAGACAGAAAAAGAGGGACTTACCCGGGAGGCGGTCGTCGCTCACCCCTCAACTCGAAGCCGAGACAACTGGCTGCAACCGCCGACCCAAAGCAACACAGGCCCGACGAGGCCCAGGGACATTCACAAGGTAACGAGCAGCCAGGACCCTGTTCGACCGCCAAAATCCCCGCGCCCGAATATCAGACCAAGACATATTCCCAAAGACGGCAGCAAGAGCCGCGAACTTACGAACGTCATGGGCACGGGGATAGACCGCAGGCTGGCTGGACCTAATAACCCTGCGGACGACCTGAGAGACCCGAACCCGCGAACAGGGAAGAAGGGAAACCGGATCAACCCACAGCGCGTCCCCGGACACAGAAGCTGTGGCGCGCAAATAACGGCGAAGCGCCGCAACCGGACACAAAACATGATGCACCCCCGGCCTGACCAACCAAGCATCAACCACCCATGGACCCCTCCGGAACGCAGCAGTCTCATTCTTCGCCAGAAAAGAAGGAGACGGCTGCAAACGAACAAAACTATCACCACGACCAAAAGAGCAGAAACCCCTGCGCCGGAGGAGAGCATGAAGCTCCCCTACCCGACCCCCAGAGGCCAAAGCCAACAAGAAAAGTGCCTTGGAAAAACAATCCTGGACCGAAGGGGCCACAACGAAACGAGGAGATGAAAGGAAAGCGAGCACTCTGTCCAAAGACCAGGACGGCTCAGGCGACGCATGAGCAGGCCGGAGGTGAAACAATGCACGAGACAGCTTGCGAAACGGCGCAGACGTAACATCGATACCGAAAGCAAGCTGAAGCGGCTCCGCCAGCGTCGCACGATACGAAGCGACAGTGTTAGGCATAAGATGACGGTCCTGAAACAACCACGAGAGGAAGGACAAGACCACCCGAACAGACAAGGAGCTAACACGACGAAGACGCAAAAAGAAACGGAAGGACCGCCAGGAAACTTCATACTGCCGCCGAGAAGAAGCCCTTCTAAAGCTGAACCCCAGGGACGTGTACACTCACGGGGACCTAGCAGGGGGCGCCACCGAGGAGAACAGTGGAAGGGCAAAAACAAACTGAATAAAATGACAGAACCCCCCACCAGGCAAAAACAAAAAGAAAAACAAAACCCTGCAAGAGGACAGCGAACCCCAAGGAACAGAGCCGGCCGCGATGTCGGGAATACAAGCTGAGCAGCACCCTGCGCCCCTACCAGTGCAAACTGCCTCTTACCTGCCGGTAACAAGGGAGAACAGAACACCCAAGAGCCCAACAGGCGGCCGAAAAACCGAAAGGTAAAACGGACCAGCAGAGGCAGACCCCGAGGAGCCTGTTGAAGGTGGCCCCAAGCCCCAAGGGCAGTACTTACAGGGCACCCAGGGAAGGCAGCCCTAGGCGCATGCAGCCCGAGTACTGAAGATAACTCCTGGCTCTCGCACCCACAAAACTAACACCACACGCAAAGCACAGTGCAGTAGCGACACCGGAGCCAGAGCACACGACCATCGCCTATAGCATCAGCCTCAAGAACTGAGGTGTGAGTAGCCGGCGCGGGGGGTCTGGGGCTCCCCCTTCCCCCTCCCGGGGAGGGGGGGAGCTGCGCAGACAGCGGCGCGGCAGTGTGTGACGTCACACTAGTTTGCTTGTTTTCGGTTGGGGAGTTCTATCCACTAGTTCGGTTTTAGGTAGCAATTTTAACCAGAATAGGGGTTTGTTTTGGGGCGCTTACCTTTCTGGGTGCCTGTTCCGGTCGATGGCAGACATAGAATGCTTCCAACTACACGGGGGCTTCTATAGGCCATTGCTCCCCTTGCCTCTCTGAGGAGGCCCGGTTCTGGCCGTGGTCCCCGGTAGGCCTAAGAACTCCATACACATGACTGATGCCAAAGTCTGACATTAGCATATCAGCCTGGGATAGCTCCGGGGAGCCAACGGGGCTCCCCCCAGAAAAAACTAACATTTAATCATCAGGTAGAAAATAATATGCCAGCTGAATTTTAAGGCTGGAATGTGTTATTTAGGTTGATTGGAAAATTAATATGATTTTTCCATTTCATGTAAAGGTGTGAGGGGGGGGGGGGGGAATAGGGGCCATGGATCTCAACTTAAACCTGCTTACGGCCATTCCCAGATAGACAAGTCATGCTGCAAAGTTTCGCGAGACTAACCCTAAGCATCTGGCCCACAACTTCGAGCATTCTCTTTATATAGATAATAATATATCTGTAATTGCTCTAGGAAATGCATTCTTTGATAGGCTATATTTTAAGTGTACTGTATGTATGAATGGGGAAATTAGGTTTAGTTGAAGTATTTTGTAAACTGCCCTTTTTTTGTTAAACACCTAAAATTAAAACAAAACTGTGTATTACAATACAGTACCTACAATACATACCTATTGTCATTATACCTTTCCAATTCTTCTCAGTCATAAACGTGCCCTACTGAACATAATTAAGGGCTTTATAAAGTCTAAATAATTGATATTTATGGTAAATAATTGTTCATTTTTTTACATGAAACAATGAATTCAATTATTTGTTAAACTTTATAAGACTAAAGCTACACAGTAATTACATGACTTAAAAAACACAGTTTGTCATTTCCAATTTCTGTTTGTCAACAGAAGTTGTTAAACTTCTATTCAAGTTTACAAATACCTGTTGTCAACTTGAAATTACCCTGGTTCTTGTCAAATCTTTTAAAATTTGTCTATAAATTGTATAAAGTTGGAGAAAGCTGTGATGTGTTGTTCCAATCAATAGCTTCAAAATCAATAATGAATTTTCTGCGAGGCAAGTTGTAATGGCTGGAAAAACAAAACAAAAATTCTTAGAAGTGCTGGCAAACACATTTTTTATTTACCAAATGTAAGCAAGTTTAAATAAGTAGATAAGCAGTATCTGGTATAAAGATATTTTTAATTTTTGCTGCAAAAAACCAGCGTTGAATGTAATGAAACGCCATTTTCTGGGTGAACCCCAGAGGCTTCCTGGAGCTATCGGACTGATATACGCTATATTAGTCTGGGGGCATCAGCCAATGGACTTCTGCCTACCAGGGACCACGAGTCAGAACCTGACCCCCTCAGAGGGAGTAATGGCCTCTGGAAACCCCCCTCCCCCCTGTGGTTGGGGGTTGTTCCTTGTTTGCCATCGACCAGGGTTAGGCACCCAAAAAGGTAGGCGTAACAAAATAAACCCCACTTCGTAAGAAAATTACAACTGAAGACCAAACATATACGCCTGGAAGATACTGGAGGGCCAAGTACCAAATCTACACAGTAAAATAACAACGTACTGGAGTGAACGATATGGAAGAAAATGTAGAATAGAACCAGTGAAGAGCAGAGGTGCCATAGGCACAATCAGAGAACACTGTATAAACATCAGAGGTCCGCGGTTGTTCAACGTCCTCCCAGCAAGCATAAGAAATATTGCCGGAACAACTGTGGACATCTTCAAGAGGAAACTAGATTTATTCCTCCACACCCTCAGCCCCTCCACACCCTCAGCCCCTGAAGAAAAAGGGTGACTCCAGGGGAAAGGCTGAGAAGAAGTCCATTGGTAAGACCCGGAAGCCTCGGCAGGAGGAGCTGGCTTGAATGCCTCCGTCACCAACCTGGATGGGGCAGCCCCCGAAGCCACCCAAGTCTCACAACCATCTAAACCCAGCCCCGACTCTGAAACCCTCAGACATTTGGGAGCCAGGAGCAGGGGGAGAGGGGGAAGGGGGAGCAGGACAAAAAACCAACCGGGGAAGGACTCAGGTGTGCAAATGAAACCAAAGTTGAAGCAACTAACCCCCCCCCCCCAAGTCTGGGTTCCTATAACCCAAATGGGGCAGCCTCAGGGCATCCGGGGAGGAACCAACCTAGCGCACTGCAGCAACTGATACCATGCATGCAATACTGAAGCCACCTGTACCCGAACATCAATATCAGTGGAATGGGTAAATTGGAGTACAAGCAAGAAACAAGGCTCGCAAGACTCCGGGTCAAAGGTGTCATTGACCCAACAGGCAGCTACTCGGCTCCTTCTTTCCAGAGGGAAAGAGGGAGCCGAGGAACCAAAGAGAACCTGGAACTGAACCCGGGGAGGAACCGACCCCAAATCATATTCATACAGGGAAGGAGGGGTAAGAAAACTCCTCCCCCTGCAACAACAAACCCCGCAAAGTGAGCACCAAAACCCAAGCGGGATCAAAGGGGCCCAAGCCCCCCAGGTCATTGCCTCCCAAGCCCCGGGAGCCTCCAAGTCAGGCACCGGGGCAGAGCAGTCCTCCACTCCTGAAGAAAAGGCAGAGTCCAGGGAAAAGGCAGCAAATAAGGAGGTCTGCTGGTAGGACCCAGAAGCCTCTGCAGGAGGAGCAGGCAGGCTTGAATGCCTCCATCTCTGACTCGAATGGAGCAGCCCCCGAAGCCACCCGAGTCTCATCACCAACTAAACCCCGCCCCAACTCCAAAACCCTCAGACATTTGGGAGCAGGGAGCAGGGCAAATAACGCCAACCGGGGAAGGACTTGCAGGCACAGACTGAACCAGGGTCAAGGTGACAAATTCCTCCCTAAGTCTGGGTCCCTAAAACCAAGTAGGGGGCAGCCCTGGGGCATCTGAGCAGACAACCAGCATAGTATGTTGCAGCAACCTAAACCGAGCATGCAATGCAGATGCCGCCTGTACCCGAACCTCAGTAACAATAAAATGGGTAAACTGGAGCACAAGCAGAGAACACATCTCGCAATACTCCGGGTCAAAGGTGTCATGGACCCAACAGGCAGCATGAAGGAGGCAAAAGAGGGGACAGTCACCCTGAAACAAGGGCACAGAACAACCTTCCAACTCGCACAAGGCAAGGTGGAACTTGGAAGATACAACCATCGCTCAACCAAGTCCTGATGGGGTTTTCCAGGACCTGTAGGGGGTGTAGCCTATGGGAAGCCCAGGCAAGATGATGCTAAGCTGGTGAAACCCGAATGTAAACAATGAGCGGGATGAGTTATAAACTAGGACGTGTACAATCACGGGGCCTAAAGGAGGGCCACCAATATATACCCTAGGTGGACTAATATTCAAACAAGGCAGAACTCCTCCAGGCAAGGAAAACAAAAATAAAAGAAAAACCCTGCAAAAGCACAATGCCACCAGAAGGAACAGGAACATGGCCACCACGTATGTAAGCATGCAACGCACCACCAAATGCCCAAACCAGCAACTACACCATTTCCTACCCAAGGCCAAACAAAGGCCACGAGAACCCCAGCTGGGCCCAAGGGTGGGATAAATGGAGAACCTAGAACCCAAGGGTAATACTTACAGGGCGCTTAGGGAAGGCAGCCCTAAGCGAATGCAGCACCAGTACACTGAAGTTATTCCTGGCCACGGCACCACAAAGAGCAGGAAACACCACGAAGGCACAAATTCTGCGAAGAAATTGAAGCCAGAGTTGACAACCAACCTAGAGCACATCAGCCTACGAACTGAGGTGTGAGTAGCCGGTGCGGGGGTCAGGGGCTTCCCCCTCCCAGGGAGGGGAGGGGTGTATAAACAAGCGGTGGAAGTGAATGACATTTGCTTGTTTCCTTATGTTTTTTTTTTTTGGGGGGGGGGGAGTTCTGTCTCTCTGTTTGGTCTTCGTTTGCAATTTCTTACCAAGCAGGGTTTGTTTTGTTATGCCTACTTTTCTGGGTGCCTAACCCCAGTTGATGGCAGACATGGAATGCTCCCAAACACATCGGGATTTCCATAGGCGATTGCTCCCTGTGCCTCTCTGAGGGGGTTAGAACTTCAGGTTTCCTAGCTTCTCATTTGCCTTGAATATTTTTTCTCATGAATTACAGTTGCCCCTTGGCTGTAAGGTTTCTGAACTTTCACACCATCTAGTTGGGTGCATCATATGTAGTCATTTACTGCATTATTTGTTTACTTTCTATGAACCCTGCAGTTCTCCATTTTGATTCTCTCCTTTCTATTGGGTTTGTTTCTTTGGCAGCTGTGATTGTGAATCCCCTGCACCTCTGTGAAAGAAAGGGGGGTCATGTTCTGGTCTCTGTTCTCCAGTAGGCTATTAAGAACTCCCAAGTGCTGATGTGACTTGTGGGTGTGGAGGTATCTCAGTGTGGCTAGCTACATGGAGCCAGTCAGGTTTCCCAAGAAACTGAGTCTCATTACATTCAGTGTTGTTTTTTTATAAAATATCATATTAATAAACTTTCTATTTCTCTCACCTTTCACATTATATAAGATGGAATAGTGCAACTGAAGTGAAATGTGGTACCTTGATATTTCAAGGTAATATTTCTTTTTTTTCTTTTTGTAAATTCAATTATCTATTTAATTTATAAGTTTTCATTATTTTAATCATAGAAATTTTTCATTCTTTTAGTGTGATGACATTCTAAGGTTTCCTGAATATTGTGCTGTTTTTGTTGAGTATCAAGACAGTCTGATCCCAGGACCTTCTGGTATACTGCTTGGTATGCCATCGGCCAGCACATCCAATTAGTGGTGAATGTGGTATGAATGAAAGGGAGCGAGGGAATGAAAGATGAAGTGGCATGGGGCAAGTGCAAATACACACAGATGGTACATATATGTAGTAGGATACCTGAGAATAATTAAACAAAAAGGGTGAAGAAAAGTGATATAAAAGGATCATATGACAGAAAATTACCAGTACAGTATCTTTGAAGTACTGTACTTTAAATATTTATCAAAAGAAGGCCCTAAGCCAGGAAGACTGTGTAGCCAGTATCTTAGAAAGGGACAGTGGAACAATATAATATTGGGTGGGAATGGAGATAATGTTAGACAGAGTGGAAGTTTGTGGGGTGACACCCTCCTGGAGAAACTTCTTGTATCCACCCTCTGATGGGGTGGCCACAAGCAGATCATTCCAGCTTGAATAATGCTCCAGGAAGAAAGTAAGGCATCAGGACTATACAAAAAAAAATATCTAACATTATAGGTCAAATCAAAACTTCTACAAGAGCTATTAATTTGCACACAAATTATGGCTAACAAATAATACAGGGAGAGTGTAAATATATATCGTGGTCATGAATGTTTTGCAGCCAGACAAGTTTGGCCTATTTCTGCCATAACAATTTTTCTAAAGAAAACAAAGATTAAAAATAACAAGAGAGGCAAACAATACCTCGATTGATTTTACCTAGTCGCCAAAGGTAAAGGAAACAGCAGTCTATTACCAATTTGGAAAACCCAAAATTATACAAGCCAGGGTATTTAAAATAAGGTAAAATATATTGCATCAATAAAATTAAGCATGCAGTCTTTTTGGCTATAAATTTATGAATAATTCCTATTCTCCTTCATTTATGTATTAGTTACATTGTTAACAATGTAAACAGCAATAACCTTACCAGTAGAGAATCCCTGCAAGGTCCAGCATTCTCTTGGAGGCAACTGTTGTGGGTTTATCCTTATACTTATCTGAGTAGTATATCACTTTCTTGATTCCAGCTTGAATAATAACCTTAGCACATTCATTGCAAGGAAAGAGGGCAACATAAAGTGTGCATCCACCAACATCAGCACAATTTTTATTCATGATGGCATTTACTTCTGCATGGCACACTGCAATTAACATTTTTAATTAAATATGGATATATTTGAATAAGATTATGCTAAAAATATTCTGTCATAAATATATTAGTATATATTGAATACCAAGCACATGTAATAATTAACTCTGATGAATTTATAACTAGACATGTATGGACATTTAAGAGAAGATGAATTTATTCTGCAATACGAGATGATTATTGCACTATACATTGTTGTACTATGTGATTATTGTACTGTATATATTTTTGCCATATAAACTTATCTCACTATTACGCAAACTTACACCAGTTGTGTAAACATCTGATTGGAACAAATTATTTTGATGCCCTCTCAAATTATTTTGATGCCCTCCAAATGTACTCACTAGAAAGAAGACGAGAGAGATATCAAATAATATACACCTGGAAGATACTGGAGGGCCAAGTACCAAATTTACACAGTAAAATAACAACGTACTGGAGTGAACGATATGAAAGAAAATGCAGAATAGAACCAGTGAAGAGCAGAGGTGCCATAGGCACAAT